ATATATTTTGAAAATAACTCTGGAGACCAGCAGTTGGCATAATGGTTATGTTGCTGGACTCCCATGTAGTCAACCATGGTTCAAGTCTAGGTCCCAGTTGCTCAAACTCACACCGGGTGCATGTGCGTGGGTGTCCAAGATCCCGAGAGGAGAATGGAGGAGAAGGGATTGCAACCTGGCCATATCCCCTGGGTGGTAATTTCTAACATTCTGTCTTTCTGTCTCTCTCTTTCTTTCTGGTAAGCACATGCGCCCTATAGCAAAAACCTCTAAAAAAAAAAAAAACAAAAAAACAAAAAAAAATCCTCTGATAAGTTAAAAGGAATTGAGGAACAAATATGTAGGTAAGGAAAGAATAAAGACTAGAAAGATATAAAAGTCACTAGAAATAGTTTACTTTAAAAACACATATATAAACTATTGGAAGTATTTGATTGAAAGAAATATTAACTTATTAAGAATATATAAGAGTAAAAGAACTTCCTCTCTTCCTAGTATAATTTGAAGTAACAGCAAATATTTGGTAAATCAATATTTATCTAAATGTTAATATTTAGATTTTTAGTTTAATTATTATAATGTGGTATAAAATAAAATGTCGTGTTTTGATACACAAGCAATAAAGAAACCAATTAAAATGTCTTTTTTAGTATATATTTTCTTTTTTTTTTTTTTGAGAAATTTTTGCTATAGGGCGCATGCGCTTACCAGACAGAGAGAGAGACAGAGAGACAGAAAGTGAGAAATCAACCCCCAGGGGGGATGGCCACGCCGCAATCCCTTCTCCTCCATTCTCCTCCTGGGATCTTGGGCACACACGCACATGTGCCCGGCGTGAGTTTTAAGCCACCGGGTCCGGGACGCAAACCGCAGTCGACTACGTGGGAGTCCAGCAACATAGCCATTACGCTAACTGCTGGTTCCCATTGTTTTTTGTTTTTGCCATAAGCACCAGAGAGAGATAAAGAGACTCAGTAAGAAGGAAAGTGGGAAATCACCTCTCCAGGGGGGACAATCATGTTGCAGGCTCTTCTCTTCCATTCTTTTCTTGGGATTTTGGGTACACACATGTATGTACCAGATGTGATTTTCAAGTTGCTAAGTCCAATGTGAATGTTGAACCATGTTTGGCTATGTGGGAGCCCAACACCTTAACCACCACGCCCTGCTGGCCCCTCAGGCCTATATTTTCGTGATATACTGGTAATCCATAAAATAACTGAAACTATAGAAAAAAGAGACATTGATGTAGCTAATTTATAACATATATGTTCATGTTCATATATGCACAATCTCACATGTAGCAATTTTTAAGAAAAATACTAGCATGTATTAGATAGCAAAATATTTTAGGCATCTGAGATATAATAATCCATAATATTAAAACATTTTACTTTTTAATTGTATCAATTAGTTACAATTTCATGTTAAATATAATTAACTTATTTTACATCCCATAATAGCTCATTTGTAATTGTCCTAAGTAATTCTAGTTATTGTACTACAGACTGAATGGGTACTTATGCTACCAAAAACTTATTCTTAAAATAGTTTATGCTATACTTTTGCTCTTTCACATTTGCATGTTTATCTAAAGGTGACATGGAACATACGTTGAATAAACTCTTGGACAGTGTACTGAGGCAAGATTTAATATCTAAGCATTGTGAAGTATCTTTCTAAGCAATTTTGCTCAATTATGTTGCTTGTTAATCTCCTGTTAAAGGATTATTGCTTTTAAGTTATACATATTGATTTCGTGTGTAAGAACCTGTGTTGTAGTATGAGGCAATCTGATTCAAGTAATACTTTTGCCATTTTCTAGTTAAGGAAAGTTGAGAAAAATGAATTAATTCTTAAAGTCTTAATGTCATCATTTGTAAAATGTGCATACTATTTATACCAATTAATTGGTTATGGAGGACAAGAGAAAAAGAAGGGATCAATAATTATCCCTAGACTTTGAGAGAAAGCACCTTGGTGAGAGGTGGGACCATTTACCTGGATTGGGGAAGGGTACAAATTTGAGAGAGAACATTAGGATTCTGTTTTTTGGATGTGTTGTATTGAAAATAGAATGTTTAGTTGACAACTGCATATACTGATTTGGACTTTAGAGGTTGATAGTTTAGCCAGTAACTAAAATGTGAGAGTCATAAACAATAGAAGGTATTTAATACCATGTGAACAGGAGAGAGTCTTGGGGACTAGAACAGAGGTGGAGAGGAAAGAAATGCTTGTAACAGAGTCTTAGGAAGATCTAAAATTGGTGGAGATGGCTAGGTCCCACATGGCCAACCCTACAGTTTGAGTTTGGACCCAGGAATTTGAGAGACATGCCAGGTGCATGTGTGTGCATGTCTAAAATCCAGTTAGGATAGAGAGAAGGAGGAGAAATTATTGTAATATGACCACTCTCATTAGGGGAACTTTATTCTCTGTATCTCTCATTCTCTGTCTCTCTGTATCTCTGTGATGAGTGCACATGCCCTCTAGCAGAGTTAAAACAAAATAACTCCAAAATTTAGTATTCAAGAAGAATGGGAGAAAGCAGAGCATTTGCGACAGAGTGCCCACATAGGAAAAAAGAAAGGCAGAATAAAACAAAATCTAAACTAAGAGTGTATTTAAGGAGGTGGTAATCAATCAACTGTGGTGTGTAATATATAAAATGACTGGAGGAGGACAAGAGAAAAAGAAGGGATCAATAATTATCCCTAGACTTTGAGAGAAAGCACCTTGGTGAGAGGTGGGACCATTTACCTGGATTGGGGAAGGGTACAAATTTGAGAGAGAACATTAGGATTCTGTTTTTTGGATGTGTTGTATTGAAAATAGAATGTTTAGTTGACAACTGCATATACTGATTTGGACTTTAGAGGTTGATAGTTTAGCCAGTAACTAAAATGTGAGAGTCATAAACAATAGAAGGTATTTAATACCATGTGAACAGGAGAGAGTCTTGGGGACTAGAACAGAGGTGGAGAGGAAAGAAATGCTTGTAACAGAGTCTTAGGAAGATCTAAAATTGGTGGAGATGGCTAGGTCCCACATGGCCAACCCTACAGTTTGAGTTTGGACCCAGGAATTTGAGAGACATGCCAGGTGCATGTGTGTGCATGTCTAAAATCCAGTTAGGATAGAGAGAAGGAGGAGAAATTATTGTAATATGACCACTCTCATTAGGGGAACTTTATTCTCTGTATCTCTCATTCTCTGTCTCTCTGTATCTCTGTGATGAGTGCACATGCCCTCTAGCAGAGTTAAAACAAAATAACTCCAAAATTTAGTATTCAAGAAGAATGGGAGAAAGCAGAGCATTTGCGACAGAGTGCCCACATAGGAAAAAAGAAAGGCAGAATAAAACAAAATCTAAACTAAGAGTGTATTTAAGGAGGTGGTAATCAATCAACTGTGGTGTGTAATATATAAAATGACTGGACATACAGATAATAATTAGGAAATTCTACAAATCTCAAAGCCTAACATAGTTCCCCTAGAACACAACTGTGATTCAGAACCAGCATGAGCAACAAAGTCTTCCAGGACAGTCATGAAAAAGGTGACAACATAACTATGTTCTCAGAGTTGTTCTTATATCAAAGATCATAAACAACAATCAAACTGATAGCCTATGGGAATAATGACCTTACTTTTTTTGGCATCAGACTAAAGTCAATAGTACATTTTCCCCCTCTAAAGAATTCAATGGTGTCATGTAATATCTGGTTTGAAGTTGAACCCTACAGCATATGTTTCTGGGCCTGAGTTTTTTACTTGACTTCTAGGACTTGAGAAATTTATAAACCTTAAGCACTGAAAAATTACAGTGCTCATCCCTGTGTCATCCTTTGTACTTCCAGGTAAAAACTATCTAAATCCTAGTATAAGAAAGATGTCCAACACATTTTGACTGTTCCCATTATATCACTTTGATTCCTTTAAAAAGGATCAAATATTCAAATATTTATTTTTTAATTTTTAATTTTAATTTAGTTTTCTTTTCTTGTCAGAGGACTCACATGCTTATGAAAGAGAAAGAGAGAAGGGGCTCCCCAGTGGAGTGTGGTCCTGTAGCTATTCTTTTATTCTTTCAGGAGAAATGGAGAGGGGTTGTGTTGTGACCACCCTCCAGAGGGAATGCTTTCTCATTTTACCTCTTTCTCTCTCTCTCTGTCTCATCTTTCTTAAGTGAGCATATGCACTCTCGGGCAAATTTTTAAAAAAAGGATGCCATCTTTTGCTTGATATTCCAACTTATTTTGCCCTATCTCTGGTACAATTTGGGATTCTGTATCAGCCATAAGTTCATTAGCTAAAAAAGAAAAAAATAGGTAATAGAGTATGCATTTATCAACTTTATGTTCTTGCGCAAAGTAAGCGTTTGACAAATGTTAGCTAGCATTATTGTACTATTGTCACTCTCATATTCATTATTAATATTACCTTAAAGGATTGCTGTGAGGATGAACTGAAATAATTTATGTAAATACCTAGCATGGTACCCAGCATAGAGTAGATGGGAAAATGATTTTTGCTTCTTTCCTTTTCATGCCTGTTCCTCCACTTCACCACAATCTTTCACGTCATCATTCTCTGAGTTACACAGAGTTCAGATAAGTATTAAAAAAATAACAATAAACAAACAAACAAAAAACTCCAAAGATAAAATACTAAGGAGATATTGGGTATTTGGGGAGGTAGATGCACTCACATAGTTAAAGGAGAGTGAAAGAGAAGACACCCAAGGCAGCCATTATTACTTTTTCTCACACATAAATCATTTAAAAATAACATGTAGTAAAGACACTTCGTTGATTCTGATTGAGTCATCCCAAAGAAATAGAGACTCAACTGGATTTCATCTTCCAAAATATAAAATTATGAAATATGACTTTTCATTTCCAAAAGGCTATGCATTTTAAAAACAAGTTTAACATTGTTACTACCTTCATTTTTATTTTGTGACAGTAAATTAATAAGATATAATTTTCCTTTAGGGATTACCTGCAAGTCGTGTGAGGTATAGAGTAGATGATGTCCAGTTTCCGTACCCGGCCAGTATTTTTGATGTGGAAGAAGATTCTGGAAGAGTAATAACTCGAGTCAATCTTAATGAAGAACCTACAACAATTTTTAAGGTCAGTGTGTATTTTTATTGTCTATTAAGGTTTAATTTTGATTGAGAGTTTGGCTTAGCAAATGCATTTCTTTTCATTTTTATCCTTTTTAATTTTAAAAAAATAATAAAATAGTATTTTGTCAAAAAAAATCTTATAAAATATGGTAAATAAAAGCAATCACTTAGTTTTTCATATTTTAAAGATAATAATTGTTTGCCCTTTTGATCTCTATACTTGTGAATATTCCATATATAAGTATGCAAATATGAATTTTTAAATAGCATATCTATATTATTTAGAGTACTTTATTAACTTAATAATATAATACCCATGGTAATAAGTAATATTAATGTTATTATTTTTTAAAGACTTATTCACTTAATTTCATCTACTATTATTATTATTGTGTTTTAATTTGCTTTACTGCATATTCCCTCACCAGAGAGAGACAGAGAGTGAGAGAGAAAAATTGAGAAAGTAAGCCACCAGGTTCAGGACTTGAACAGTGGTTGACTATGTGCATGTCCAGCACCTTAACCACTGTGCCACCTACTGGTCCCTCAATGCTATTATTTTAATGGCTTTCCCATGTTCTACTCTGTATCTTTGTGGTTTTTTGTTGTTGTTTAATCTAATACCTTGTTGATTGATAATGAGACTGTCTCCAATTTTTTGTAACAATTAACTACTATGCTGAAGCTGCTAAAGCACAAATCATTGTCACTTGCTTATTTTTTTCCTTAAGATAAGTACCAACAAACAGAATTCCTGAATCAAATATATATATTCTTGATATATTATGTTTCTAGGAAATTTGAAAAACATTAGGGCTTACTGCATGTTTTTCACCTTTCAGAGGGCTACCTGTGTTCCAGATGCCAATTAACTTTCAGTATCACTATTTCTAATCTTCAAATATCTGCTAAGGAAATATCTATGACTGCTTGATTTTCATTTGATTTTCCTTGTCTCTAATTACCAGTACATACAACCTATTACTTCTCTTGTTTTTCACATGTTTTACAAATGTAGTCAATAAGATACAGCTTGTTTCTACAAGTCAAGAATATATAGAACACATATGGTTTATTATCATAAGTAGTCTATTTTATTTAGTGCTTGATCATTTCCATTTTGTCTGTCTATTTGTTTGCTATAGGGTGCATGCGCTCATGGGTGATAGAAGAGAGAGAAAGAAAGTGAGAAATCCCTAGAGGACATGGCCATGCCACAATCTCTTCTCCATTCTCTTCTTGGAAATTTGAGCTCACATGCACATATTCCCAGCATGATGATGTTCAAACTTTTGGGTCTGAGACTCAAACTGTGAAGTCAGGCATGTGGAATCCAGTCACCTTCACCTACAAGCCACTTCCTGGCCCATTTCCATTTCTTTTAGGTACTTAGAATAATTTCTGTCACTGTGAAAAGAATCCTTTCTCTCTGCACCAGGGAAATGCCTTATCAGTTGATGACCTTGTAAATGTCAGTGAGCACCATGTCTTACATTATTTTATCAGTGGTTGGAATACTTCAATGCTTTGTAAACTAGTATTAACCCAGGAGGTAAACTGAGGCTCTTAGGATGGTCCTTAATTACGATTGTCCGTGTCTGAGGCTGAATTAGTCATTTGCAGCTTCAAAAAGGATATACATTCCAAAGAAACACAGTTTTGAAAATATTAACATGTCTCAAAATAAATATTAGAATTTATATGATAAATGTTATTAAAGATAATAATCAAATATAGAAGCTATTGCAATGATAAATAATATACACATATCACATTCTAAGACTTTTTCTTTAGTTTGCATCATTTGTATGATTTCTGTTAAATCGTAAAACTTAGTTTTATATATTGGGTTGTTGGAAAAGTCATGAGTAATTTTCTGTGCAAAAATGTGCCTTGACTTTTCCTACCACCCAATAATTTAATTGTTTTAAAGGAATTGTGCACCAAAGTGTGTTAGATTTCCAATTTTATTCTCCAGGGTGCTGTATTTCTGCCCTATAATTTTGCAGACAATTAACTCACTGGAAAAATTAATTTATTTTTATAAGCAAACTAATTAGCTTTTTGCTATTGATGCAGCTGAATTTAACACTTTTTAAATAAGTGTCTTGGTGCTATAAAAGTACATGTTTTTTACTGTTGGCATCTGTGGAATTGTGGAAAAGTGTTTATAATTGGAGAAATGCAGGGTAATATACCAGTTTTACTGGCAGTATTCTTTTGTCTTTTAATCATAATGTTAGTAACTTCTTTGAGTTTTTTCATCTGGCAGTGAAAATAATAACCTCTAGCAAATTCTTGTGAGGATTAAATGAGAATGTGGTATATTTTAGCCTTCTGTCTACTTCCGGGTCCTCAGTGGGCCAGTGATCACTGCTCCCCCTTCTGGAACCAGGCAGCCCCTGATTAAAAATACGTATTAAATGTGTATCTTATACGTGTATAAAAACAATGTTTTTATTTTCTTCTCATTTATGATCTTTAACATGAGATTTTGCTACTTTTTAAGTTGGTGGTTGTTGCCTTTGATGAGGGGGAGCCTGTGATGTCCAGTAGTGCCACGGTGAAAATCCTTGTCTTACATCCTGGAGAGATCCCACACTTCACACAAGAGGAATATAGGTATTGTTTTCTATCGAATTTTGAAATATATAGTGTTTACTGAAATTTTTTATGGGGGGGGCTCTAGAATTGATATAATATCAGTTTTTAAAGTTTATTTACTTTTCAAAGTAAAGAGAGAGGTAACCTTGTCTGGTCTTCATGCTATAATATGATCCTCCCCCAGCCCAGCATCAACCCTCAAATCTATTACTATCAGTTCTCTGCTTTTGACTGGCATGGTTACCTGGTTACCTGTGGACTCAGATTGTTTGCTATGGACTGTAGAGTTTCTTGCTTTGGGAGAATTTCTCTGAATCTTAATTTTAGTATTTTCAAGAACCAAGTTGGGTGTAGAATCATTTGGTTTGTTTCTCACTAGTTAATCTAGATCAGATGCACTTGCTATTTGAGGTGGATCCATAAACCTTCACAGTTTCTCACCTTTGTCCTCCAAAACTTCTTATGCCAAGTGTATAATCATTCCTTGAGAATTCTAGGAGGAGGAAAAAAGAAAAGAAAACAAAACAAAACAAAAAACAGTGGTATAGTATGTAACATGCTGCTGCTTTTTTTTGTTAAGGTTTTTGCCTTAAGATATGTGTGCTCACCAGAGAGAGAGACAGATACAGTGAGAGGGAAAGTGAGAAATCACCCCTCCGTGCCATAATCCCTTTTCCTTCATTCGCCTCCCTTCTCCTTCCGTATCTTGGACATGCACACACAATCTCCAGAGTGTAACATGCTTCTTTTAAACCATGCAAGTAGTATTCTGTTTCCCTGTGCTTTCATTTTGAATTCATTTTCTTATTAATAGAAGTATATGGGACCAGTAATTAGTGTAATGGCTATGTCGCTGGACTCCCATGTAGTCCACCATGGTTCAAGTCCCAGACCCGGAGGCTTAAACTCATGCTGGGGGTGTGTGTGTGCGTGCCCAAGATCCCTAGAGGAGAATGAAGGAGAAGGGATTGTGGCATGGCCATCCCCCAGGGGGTGATTTCTCATTTTCTGTCTCTCTATCTATCTCTGTCTTTCTGGCAAGCACATGCACCCTATAGAAAACAAACTCTCAAAAAAATAAAATAAAATAAAATAAAAGTATACCTCTAGACTTCTCCCAGTACCCTGTTCCTGCCATTCTTTTCAGCGCTAATATTGTGGTCATCAGGACAAGGTCACGGATCCAAATTAGGACATTCCTAATTTAGCTTTCTTCTTTAAGTGTCCTTGTTCAAAAATACAAATGTTTTGTTCAACCAATAATTTACCATTTTATACTATATCTGCATAGGACTACTAATTGCAAATCGATTCTATTAATAAAGTAGTTAACTTAGGGAACAAAAAATACTAGCCAATTATTTGGTGCTAAAATTAACAGCAGTCACATGAACACATGGGGGAGAATTTTGACCTTCTAGAACTTTTCTAACAATTGTAAAATTGCCCTTGATTATCTCAGTTCATTTGTTATTCTTTTTTTTTCAATTTCTATTTATTTATTTGTATTCATTCACTGTACATCATTACAGCATACAAAGTGAGATTTTCCATCCAGAGTACACTGTATATTGTCTCACTCAAGCACATCAACAAACATGTTATTGTCAGCAAATAATTTTCCATTTCTTGTTTTCTGTATGTTTTCCTTTTCTTCCCCCCCATCCTTGATTCCCTATCTCTTACCCTCTGCCATCTCTCCTTCCACACTATCTTTGTTATCTATGTTTGCTTTCTTTACTGTTTCCCCCCCACATTTTATTGAATTACTAAAGACGTTAATTAATCTAAATATTTTCATAGCAAACACAGGGGATATATACATTTCCGTGAACACAAGTCTAACTTTACACATCCTATAAAGTAGCACCTAGCTGGGGCTATATATCTTACTGCAGTCATCGAATAGATTTTTTTTTCCTGAAACTTTTTTTGTTTTTGTAACTTAATTTACATCCCTAAGCATCATCACAGCATACAAAATGTGATTTCCCATCCAGAATATACTGCATAGTGACTAAATCATGCATATTATAAAATAATTTCCATTTCTAGTTCCTAGAATTATTTTTACCCCTCTTTCTGACCCTCTGTCCTTTCCCACACTCTTCTCATACTATCTCTGGGGTCTACAATTGAGTTCATTTGTTATTCTAAGTTATAAAAGCAATTTAGTAATCGCGCTGCATTCTACTGTTTATAGGTAGAATTTCACGTAAGAATCAATATTATTGTCATGATGGATTCACTAGTTGTTAGGTACCCAAAAAAGCATTTTGTTTTCTGTTGGACATCTAGAAAATTTGTCTAATAAAAATGTCATAGCAAATATGGTCAAAAGACACTACTTCTTAGGTAAGTGCAAATAACTGAATTTCCATGTGTAAACAGGTTTAAATTTGAATTAACACATGGAACGAACTATTAAAAAGCTTAGTTTTAACTTCTTCAATTACCTGTCTGTTCTTTGAAAGTTTTAGGGAAAGTACATAGAACTGTGTTTGGATGGTTCTAAATCCTTTCCTCTTCCTCAGAACATGCAGCTAGACTCCATTTCATAGCTTCAGTCTTTAAGGTATTGCTTTGACATTTAATAATAGTAAAATGCCATCAGATGACCACAGTTTGCTTTTTGGATCCCGGCTTGAAAGAGAGCTATGTAATAATAGCCTCAATGAATAGTTAAGAGAGCAAGACATTTAGAAGTTCGTCTAGTATCAATATATTACCCACAGTTATTTCAGCTAATATGTATTTTTCAACATTCACTTGGTTTGAAACAAAAAATCACATTGTATATTAATCATATTAAAAATACATTGTATTTATGTTGCTTTATTTCCTGATTGTCAGTTTTTTTGGTAATAATGTCTTGTTGGGAGAGCTACGACATATTTTTCTGTTTTTCTATGCAAAAATGCACCATGACTTTCCCGACAACCCAATAGTATTGATGATAGAATATTTATATTCTTGTATGACATATACTTTTTATGTGTTCATAGTAACTGCCATTGGAATATGCCTATGCCATTCCAGAATGCTGGGAAGGCCAACACAGATTCCTTTCTTAACCAAAAAATTAAAAAGTGAAATAATGAAGTTGAGAATGGTTTCTGGAAGTTTTATATGCTTCTTTTCATCTCCTTTTTTTTTTTTTTTTCGAATTCACTTAACTCCCTTACCTAGATGCATATAATGCCCAGAGATTAAAAACAAAAACAAATTATTCCTTGATTATCAGAATAACCCCTTGTTCTGGGATTACTCCTGGTGAGAAAAATTACTTTCTGTGATCAAATTTTGGGGAAACACAAAATGGTAGTACAAATTTCTATCTTTGTAGAGTGTGGGGAGAGAGAGACTATGGTTTACAAATGAAAGTGGTTGTCTAAGGTAGGGAGCATTGTGAGCTGAGGTGTGCCTGGTTCTTACATCTTAAAAATGTCTTAGTTCCCATATTGTCATTTGTATTCCTTAGGAAAAGTTTGTTTTCAACCCTAACCAATACCTAGGTGTTAAAGAGGTTTTCAGGACAGCAGGTGGCGTAGTGCTAGACACTCACACTGTTGACTGCGGTTTGAGTCCCAGGTCCAGTGGATTGAAAATTATACTGGGTACATGTACATGCATGCCCAGATTCCCAGGAAGAGAATGGAGGAGAAGGAATTGTGATGTGGCCATTCCCACAGGAAGGGATATTTCTCACTTTCTCTTTCACTGTCTCTCTCCAATGAGCCTATACACCCTATGGAAAAAATTAAAATAAGCAACAAACGAAGAAATACTTTTAAAAAGAGATTTTAAGGGCAAAAATATTTATCTTGAAATTTTAAATTGACACACACCTTCCTCATCTCCTACGGACCCAGTTTACTTATTTATTTTAGAATGATCATGAAATAATTCTCAGGATAATCAAGATCCTTGGAGTAAATGAAGTCACTATAAAAAAAAAAACTCTCAAACTTCAGTGGCTTAAAGAACAACGACAATAAAAACAACATGAACTTTTTACTCACTTGACAATGCGAGGTGAGTTTCTCCAGTAGGCAGTCATTCTTCCCCATGCAGTCTCCTATGCAGTCATCCCCAGAGCCAGACCCACTCAGGGTCTACCATCTTCAGCACTGCCACTGGAGTCAGTGGAAAGGGGACAAAGGGCAGAGTCCACATCCAGAGACTCTTTGAACTGTGTGAGTTGAGAATTGCGAATTTCACCTCAGCTTGCATTTCATTTTGCAAACCCAGGCAAACATTCCTACAACGGGGTGGAGGAAAGGGGGACCTTTCTGGGCAACTATCTTAGTTTCACCTCTGCTACTGAGAAAGAAAGGAAATGGAGCTTGTGAAGAACTAGTACAATAAGCATGTAATTTTAGAGAAATTGTAGAGTTTAATCACTGTTGTTATTTTAAAATGATGGGTTTATATTAAAAAAATACAATGGGCGGGGCCAGCAGGTAGTGTAATGGTTAAGCCGCTGGACTCCCACATGGCCAACTGTAGTTTGAGTCCCAGGCCTGTTGGCTTGAAACACGCAGAGAGTGTGTGCATAAGCATGCCCCAAATCTCTAGAGGAGATTGGAGAAGAGATTGTGGCATGGCCATCCACCCTCAGGAGTGATTTTTCACTTTCTCTCTCTCTGTCTCTCTGGTGAGCACATGTGCCCTATAGCAAAAATCTCTCCAAGAAAAGAAATTCAATGGGGTACGTGAACTAATGACATGATACAATGGAAACATTTTTATTTTAAAATATGTATCTGTTAAAGATATTATTAATATAATAAAAGAATTAACAAACAAATACCAGATAAACACTTCTGATTGTTTTAAAGACCCTTATTTCTTTAGATTATAATTTATCAAGTATTAATATCCAAATCACCTATTCCAAACAGGACTGGAATTCAAGCTAAACTTCAGTCATTTGATACAATTCAATACTGTTCCTGGTTTTTTGAAAAATATGATTATGTTGATCAAAAGAAAAGAATAAATAAAAGAAAATATTA